TATTAATGTCAGAAGTAACTTTTTTCTGTCCCACTTTCTTTTGAACACTTGGCTGGCATTGTAGTGCCAGTGTCTCCAAAGAGTAAGGTTGTTCTTGGCACCCTGACATTCCTACATTGAACGCTGCTGGACTAACTAATGGTACGGCTGCTGCAATCTTGTCTGGTGGTATTCTGCATGTGTCATTATATCCAGTTCATCCTTGCCTGGCCACAGAGAGGAAATGGTTACAACTGCTGGCAAATAGGCCCAGCCCTAGGTGGGCTGGGTCTCGGTGACTACAGTGCCATGGAAAGTGGTCTGGATGCAGGGCTGGCAGCTGGGCAGATCATCTGCCCATTTATCACCCAAAGATCTGGGATGCCCAGAGGGTTGAGGTGAGCTTGGGCTTATTGTTAAGTAGGCATCAACATCTATTAGGTGTGCACATCCTGCTAGGAATGCGGTTAAGTTCTGATATCCGGGCTGCAGATGTTACTGCATGCTGTGTGCTCTGGGAGAGCATGGGTGATCTGAATGTTCATGGTAGAACCTGTCAGGTACAAGAAGATATAAAAATCAGGTCCAGACAAAGCTCTGGTCAGCATACTGAGCCCAGCTGGTGATTGTGGGGGTGAAGATAGCCGAGGCTCTGTGTGTGTCTAGGCTCATGGGGATCTTCCCACATTGGGTATTGGGTATTGCTGGATGGTACATTTGAGATGGCTGGGTTGTATCTTGTTCTAACCAATATGGGGTGAAAAATGCAGAGACCGAACCTGCCCAAGGGCAGGGGGTGTCAATGCCTCACACTGATGGCACAGTGGGAAGTAGGACACAGCATCTGAGAAGAAGCCACAGAGTTTTGTTTGGCTCAGAATCAGGACACTTGGGGCCCAGTCCTGGGTCAGGGACTGTCTTTTGCATGACTTAGAGCAAGTTTTAGCACCTTTCTGAGTCTCTGTTTCCTCAGGAGATTGTATGGGTCAGGATCCCATATTGTATTCATATTTGTTTCCCTAGCATCTAGCACAGTGTCTCCTTCACGAAAGACTGTCAGTGAACGTGTGTGTTGTTTGAATGAGTGAATGAGTGAGTGAATAGGGTGAGCTGAGTGTGAGGAATGACATTGGTGGTTTCAGGGAAGAGGGGCTTATCAGAAGCATGGTCCTCACCCTCACCCCCTAGATTCTGATGTCTACCGCCATGCCCTTTTCCAAAAACCAGTGATTCAAATAATAGTATACTCCCCAAAGTTCCTAATAGGCTGTGATTCTCTGAAGAAAAAAAAAAAAAAAACTTTGGATAGTTTATTTTAAAAAATTTTTTGCCTTAGCATTCACTAGCCAAACATGTTATAAGAATCAAAAATACATGTCCTGTAGCCCCCAGAGAACTCGAAAAGGCAGTCTTATCTACCAGGAAAGCTCTGGGGTGGCCTCAGAGAGACAGCAAAGTAACAAGGAAACCCTCTGACATTTGCAAATGCTGTGAAACACCAACAAACAAGAGAAGCACACTAAGACCCAGGGGGCGGAGATAGATCAAAGATTTACAGATCTACCTAATCTCATTTGGGTCAATGTGCTCCGCAAGGGTACTGTTTGTTGTTGTTGAGACAAGTGCCTCCCAGAGTGAAAGGTCTTCTAGAGTGAGTGGGCTGCTCTACTTTTGCTATAGGTCCTAAAGATGTGGGCAGCATTAACTTTAGGCCAAACATTCAGACCTGTGAATTAGGCAACTTGTTGCGTTTAAAGACTTCACTTAGGGCTTTTTAGTGCCGTAGGTATGTGCTTGTGAGATGATAGATGATAGATAGATAGATAGATAGATAGATAGATAGATAGATAGATAGATAGACAGATGGATAGATAGACAGATAGATAGACGGATAGATAGATAGATAGATGGATAGATAGATAGATAGATAGATAGATAGATAGATAGATAGATAGATGGATAGAGAGATAGATGGATAGACAGATAGATAGATGGATAGATAGATGGATAGATAGACAGATAGATAGATGGATAGATAGATAGATAGACAGATAGATAGATAGACAGATGGATAGACAGATAGATGGATAGATAGATAGACGGATAGATAGATAGATGGATAGATAGAGATATAGATGGATAGATAGATAGATGGATAGATAGATAGATAGATAGATAGATAGATAGATAGATAGATAGATGGATAGATAGACAGATAGATAGATGGATAGATAGACGGATAGATGGATAGATAGATAGATGGATAGATAGACAGATAGATGGATAGATAGATGGATAGATAGACAGATGGATAGATAGATAGATAGATAGACAGATAGATAGATAGATGGATAGATAGATAGATAGATAGATAGATAGATAGATAGATAGATAGATAGAAGATGGATAGATATATATCAAACTAATACAAAAACATTACATAATTTGGAAGATAAGGAAAAAAATAAGAGAGAAAATCATTCATAATCCTACTACTCTAAGACAGCCAAAATATTTTTTTGTTTATTGTGTATTCTTGTTTATATCATTTATTTTCTATGAAGAGTATTTTTAAACATAGTTATGAATATTCCATATACATATATACAAATATGTATATATATATATATCCTACTTCTTTTCACTTTTTCTGTTACCATAAGTATTTTCCAATTCCAATCTTTAAAACTTAGTCAGATTATACTTCATCATTCTCCATCCAACATCTTTTCCCTCAAGTCAGTCACAATGGGACATAGAGGTTGTGCAAATTTTTTGTTGTTAGATATAACACTTAGATACCTATATTCATTCAAAGACTTTTCCCCTATCTGTTTGAATATTTTCCCGTATGTTGTATGCACCTCAAAGATGGGTTCCTAGAAGAAGAATTACTGACCTAAAGGGCTGGACTGTTTGTGATTCTGGAGACATGTGACCAAATGGATCACCAAAAGAGTCATGCTAACCAAAATGTAGTATGACAGGATTATCTCACTGCATTTCATCAAGAATTATTTAAATGTCAACCTCCATAGTGAACATAAGTATTGGTCCAAAGATTTTATAACCACTTGGCAGAGAGGTTGACAGATGGGGGAAAAGAGAAAAAAAGGAAGACACACTTAAAACTCAAGTACAGCATGGGAACTAGACACTGTTGGTAACTGACAACTGGTTAGAAATGAATGAGGTATTCCTGAAATAATGTACATCAATGTAATAGCAGCGTTCAGCTTACCAAAGGGATACAGCAGCAAAATAAGTGATTCAGGGTGGACTGATTGACAGGAATCGACTCTACCACTAACTTTGGGGGTGGTCTTTGCAAACCATTTGCCTCTCTGGACCTTTCTCAACTGCAGAGCTAATAGGTTGAAGGCTGAGGACAGTTTAGATTATAGTGTCAAATCCAGATGATGAAGACAAAGTCACAGAGTCACAGGGTCCAGTCAGCTGTTTTCCCTAGACACCCAGAGTTACAACACTGATGAGATCCACAGTTCTATCAGAGTTGTACAATGAAATAGCAGACATTCTGGGAAGCCCTTGGGGCTCCCCCAACCTCAGTTATGAATCCTCAAGTTCTGTGTGTCTCATTTGGATGGATGGTGAAGATTTTTCAAGGCCCTGTTTCCATAGAGAATCTCCACAGAAAAATGTTGAATAAGCGGACCGATGAGGTGGCTTGAGTCATCTACTACTATAATGACATTTGGCCTTTGGTGCCTCCAGACAGTTCTCTATCCAGATGATGACATACAGAAATTAGCTAAATTGCTTTCAGTTTAGTAAATTAAAAGAATAAAGGCAGGTTCCCTCATTTTCCAGACTCTATTTTGGGGGCAGGACCTCTCAGATTTCAAAAGAAGCCTGGGTCACTTTTTGGAGGCTTCTAGTATGGCGGGGAAAAAGAGAGAAAGAGAGAGAGAGATTATATAAATGTGTGTGTGTGTGTGTGTGTGTGTTTCTGGTTTTTTAACACAAAAAATGAGAAGATAGTACACAGAACAATCCTGTACCCAGTTTCCCCCATTATTAACATTTCACCTTAGTATGGTACATTTGTAACAATTGATGAAACAATATTCACACAATATTATTAACTAAAGTCCATCATGTATTCAAGTTTGTTTAGATTTACCTTCTGTCTCTTTCCATTAAGTACTACTTTACATGAAGTTATCATGTCTCCTTAGGCTACTTTTGATTGTGGCGACCTGTCAGACTTTCCTTGTTTTTGATGACGTTGACAGTTTTAAGGAGTACTGGTCAAACATTTTGTAGGATGCTCCTCTACTAGTATGTGTCTGATGTTTTTCTCATAAAGAGACTGAGGTATGGGAGGAAGACCACAGAGTAAAGACCCATTTCACCACCTTATATCAAAGGTACATACAATCAACATGGTTTATCATTGTTTGTTTGTTGTTTGTGGTTTATCTTTGTTGTGTTGACCTTGATGTCCTGGCTGATGTACTGTTAATCTGGTTTCTCCATATAAAATTACCTCCCCCATTCCCCTTACCATACCACAGTCTTGGGAAGCAAGTCACTATGCCCAGTTCACACTTAAGGAGAGGGGAATTTTACTCCCCCTCCTTCAGGGGAGAATATCTACATAAATTATTTGGAATCCTTCTGCATGGGAAATTTGTCTCTTCCATTTATTAATTTTTCCCATAATTTATTTATATCTGTGTAAACTTGTGGACATTTATTTTATACTTTGGGTTATAATCTAATATTATTCTATCTTGTCACTCAAATTTTGCAGCTTTGGCCATTGGGAGCTCTTCAGATGGCTCCAGTGTCTCTGAAATATCCCCCAGCAATGCAGGGATTTTTTTTGTGTGTTTGTTTGTTTGTTTGTTTTTAGCAAATCCTTATTTTATGGTACAATCTGGGCATGAGGTGTGCTCATTGCTACTGTGGCATTGTTGCCTCTAGGCCATATATATTTAAAAATTTACATTTTAAACACCAACATACACACAATTACAATACAATCACACGATTCATGACAATTCTAGATTTAGTAACAGTATGAAATCACAGCACCATGGGGGACTGGGAGGGCTCCTACACTGGGTCTTGCGGCGGGACCCGCACACAAAACTTGTGTGTGAAGGTCTTCTTTCGATCCTGTCAGTGCGCCACTAAGACTGCAGCAGAACCTCAGTGGAGAGCATGTCAAAAGTCCAACTCTGAGGACTTCTCTGAATGTAAGGCCACAGCAAATGGCTCTTTTGCAGGGATGCTCACTCTATGTCCTCTTTCCATGATAAACTATGGAAAACCAAAAACAAAAAACAACAATGGATTTAGAATCAGGGCATCAGAATTCTAGATCTGGCTCTGTCTGCAGTTCAATGGATGTGGAAAATGCCTTCTGTCTGGGCCTCAGTTTCCAATTCTATACCATTGATAGCATTGGATTGGATTGTTGCTAAGGACTCTCCCAGTTCTAGCATATTATAACTCAGTAATTCTACACTGAGAGAGTGTAACTGACTCCATGTCTCCTTGTACGTGGACAGCAATATACCAGAGGGTCTAAGCCAAAGGAGAAATGGTGGTGGTAGGGAGGTCACCGCTAATAAATTGGGGCTGTTTTATTACTTCCTGAGGATGCCGAGAGGTCTGTTAAAGACCTCATTTCATCTAGACAATCAGGCCTGAGAAAGTTTAGACCTTTTGTTTTAAAGAATGGAGATCAAAAAAAGTATAGGAAATACTGATTTGAAGTATCTCTTTTATTGCCTTCAAGTTTGTTCTGGAAGATCAAGCTGTTTTTTTTTTTTTTTTTTTTTTTTTGGTAAGGGCAAACTCCTCATCTGTTATTTTCTCTAACTTCAAATAATTACCTTTAAGGTAGCGATGGCTGATCTACCTCTAAGTTTCTTACTAGGAATCTCTCTCTAGGTTTTTTTTTTTCTTTCCTTCCTTTGTGTGTGTGTGTGTGTGTGTGTGTGAATGTTGTGACATATTTTTCACATCCACATGGGGGCCCAGTGGCTTAAAGACTGCCCAGTTTACAAGTGTCATCTCCTTCCTATCATTGACTGGGACAGTTTCCAAACACAAACAGAAGGCAAAAAAAAAAAGGAACGATAATGCTGAAGAGACACTTGGGAACTGTCACAGCTGATTATGAATGCTGGAGATCAAAGGTACAAGGTCTTAGAACCTGTCTCCTCCAACTCAACATTAAAAATCTTCAATTGGTTTTTGTACCCACTCAGCATAACCCCAGACTTTGGTCTACAATTGGTTAAAAATTGATAGAGGTGAGGATTCTGGGACTGCCTTCTTTACTTAGAAGTTTAAATTTTAACCCCTTCCCCCATGCCAGGTACAGCTCCTTTCCGTCCCCTGCCCCCACCTCAAAGTTATGTAAAGATGTATTTGGATATAGAGGTATAGAATTTAGAACAGATAGACATCATGCAAATCATCGGGGTTATTTCTTCACACGGCTGAGGAAACTGAGTCCTGACAAGTGGTTTTGCTCCAGGTTCCATAAGGGAGTTCCAGGCAGAGCTGTAATTAGAAGCCAAGGTTTTTTTGGCAACAAATCCAGGTTTGGTTTTTTTTTTTTCCTTCCTACCTCACACCATGCCCCTGCGACTTACATGTTTGTGTGCGTGCCTGTGTGTGCGTGCATATGTGTGTGTGTCTCTGTATGTACATATGTTACATAGACACCGACATGTAGGAAACATGCACCAAGCATCTGTAGTCTGACCTCAGGGAGCAGTGTAATGACTCGAATTTCAGGCAGCTGAAAGCTTTCTGCGGGTGGAGGGGGTGAAATAAACAAGAAAAGCCACTGTGGAGATGTGAATGGAAAAGTACCGAAGTGCTCCCTCCCTCCGCACATTCTTCCGCTCTCCAACTCTGCCTGCCAGCCAGCCGGCTTCAGATAGGCTTCTGCACGGTCAGGTGTACAGAGGGCGGTGTGGAGAAGGGGAAAAAAAATGCAGGCACAACACGCAAATCAAGTTTTTCCACTTCTAGCCTTAGGTAGTAAAGACAGCTAAGTACCGGCAGGCAGCCGCCGGGAGGGTGGGCCAGCTACCCAGAGTTTACAAACACTCCAGTGCTTTCCTCTCTTCATCCCTTCCTGGTCCAGCTGCTGCTTTCCTTCATGCTAGAGTTTCATAGGAAGTGAAAACCCTGTTATTCAAAACAGTGATCCAATGCAATAAACAAATGATTAGGCGCCCCCCCATCACTTCTCTATTTTAAGCTCCCGATATTTATTTCCATTTTTAAAAAGTGAGAAAAGTATGGAAAATCAGTGTTTTGGGGGGAAAGTCTGAGCTGGGCTAGAAAAGGTTTCTAAAGAAAAAAAAAAGTCTCAGAATAAAACAGGCTGAAAGCAGGCAGCATATGGATCAAAATTAAACGTTGACACTTCTTTTTCAGAAGGTAGTAGCTAGAAATCGTCTTCTGTTTTTCCTTTTACTGTCTCAAAACTTTCTGCTCAATTTCTCTAAAATATACCAAGAAATCTCCCTTCTTTCTCCAAGGATAGTATAGGGAGCTTGTCTACAATAACTCTAAATGAAGGATTTGAAGGAAAAGGAAGAGGTAAAATTTTCTGCATCAGGTGGACGACATCTCCCACACCCATCAGAAGGAGTGTCGAGTACTGCAGCACAGGGGACAAACATAACCAAACCCAAATGTCCATCAAAACTCAGTAGTAGCATCATGACCTGGAGTTCGTTCTGAGGACCAATTTACAGTTACCGAGGAACCCAAAGCAGCCTTTCTTTCCCCAATTCTGCCAGAAAACAGGACACCCTCCTCCAAAGCCAGGCAGTCAGATCACCCTCATTCTCTGAAATGACGCAGGACTGTCAAACGAAGACCCATTTTCAGTTGTGTCCTGGGGTCACCCACGCCTCTGGTGAGGGCAGGCCTGTCCTCTCGAAAGAGAGAAGCCTGGGGGAGTTGTGTGATTGATCTGCAAGGTTCTTTCCAGTTCTAAAAGCTATAATCCTGAGATGTGATAGCTTAAAGATCTACCAAAGTACCAGAAGCTCCTGACAGGTGAAACCGACTTCCTGTTTGGAGCCCCCTTAAAAAGAGGACAAGGCAGTATTTATTTATTCCAAGGACAGCTTCCTTTTCAACCATGACTGAATTGTGGGGAACTGGATGCAAAATCTGTTCCTTTCCTTGAATAGATGTAATATTAGGACCAGGCTATTTTATTTGTAACAAAGCTTATATTGACCCGGCAGCTGCACTCAGGAACCTATTACTATGCCCAGTCCACCGGGCATAGGGGCTTGCCTGGTCCTCTATTCTGAGTATTAATAGCCAGTGACCATTAAATCATAGCACTGGTTGATACATAGTCCCTCCAAGTCTGCAGGAATCACTCATAAGACCCCAGACACGGAATCTCTCTTTAGAGCTTCTTAAGGATGATTTAAAAGAATTTGAATATATTCAAGTCAATCCTTTCTTTAATCCTATAACATAGCACTCTGCTGGAGTGAGGGAGCCCACACGGTGATGCCAACTGGCTACTGATGGGGAGAGATCAAGAATGAGAGAAAGAAGGACAGTCTGGAAGAAATTCAACTGGTATAAAATTTGACAGTTACCCTCCTAGGATTTGGAAAGAGATTGAGAGGTGGGTGCACAATTTTCTTCACTGTTCATTCGGTGGAGAGTAAGGGATCTACCTAAAGTCTCGATCTTTAGAATATTTTCAATATTATTTTTCTTTTAACAGCATCCGTCTGATCAATTTCTTTCAATGTAAACACTGATTTGGCAAAAAAACAAAAACAAAAAACAACGGTCATAGAAATATGGGACTCTGGCACTTGGTCCCAGAAGTAATGTGCTGGAAGGTTTGAGGTCCCTGGTGGTGGGTTTAATTATCTATAAACTAGGCCTGGTGGGTCTTCCCTCCAAGGGCTCCCTGCAAAGAATTAAAAAGGTCTGAGGTACAAGAAGGGTGAATTCCTTCCCAGCCCCCATTCTGGCTAGTTCTACTGCCAGTGGGAGCAGATTTCCCTCTGCTCTGCAGCGCCCCCATGGGGCTAAGATTGGAGTGGCAAAGAGAACGCAGAGGGACAAACTGTGTTTAAGGTTGGGGTTGGGGGGGAAACGGCAGGGGACCAATGAAGCAGGCAGGATGGCAACTTTGATTAGAAAAGTGACCAAAAATCATAAAAGTAATCTCCATCGTAGGATCAATAATAGGGCAGAGCCATACATTTCACATTCCAAACCATATATAGACACACCTGAGAAACCTTGAAGTTCCTACTGCTCTCAAAGATAGAAAAAATATCACACATATAAATGCACGGAGAAAATCACTTCAGCAAAATCAGGGTATCATTTTGAATCCAGTGGAATTCATTTAAAACTCTGAAAAGGAAGGGGAGGGAGACAATAAAAAAGCAGATAGTCCTCCTGGCAGAATGAATCTGCACTTGACAATATCATGTGTCTTTGGGGGTAAAATGTTCATTTCAACAACAGTGACAGGATTAGGCCTATGTATATTTTTCAAAAAATCCTTTACAAGACAGGCTTTTCTGCAGAGGCTGCAGTAATCCATCTGTCAATAAGTATTAAAATATTCAGATTTCATAGGAACAGACACTTATGCATATTTCCTAAGCTCCAGACCTTGTGGAAAATAATCAACCCCTTTGGACCTCTTCTGGTTCTAAAATTCCCAACACAGCCTTTTAAAGGTGGTGGTGGTGGGGGGGGGTGCATTGACAATAACATGTTCAGCAACAGATCTGAACTTCTTACGGACTTTTCCTGGGAAAGAGGTCCCAAATACCCCAGGAAATAGCCCGTAATCTTTCGTAGCTCTGCTCACTTCTCCATTATAAACCCAGATGTGAGGTTGGGAGAGGTAGATTTTGGGACATATCTTTTTGGAAATTAACATGTGCAGAAATTTTGTGGAACCTTTAAGAACTCATCTGTAATTTAATGAGTCGCCTGAAGGACTCTCATAGCCAAGGCTCAGAACAGCCTGACCTTTTGAAAGCTGCTTCTGGCCCAAACATTTTGGGTTAATTCTTGAGGAATCTGAAATATTATTTTCCCCTCACACCCTTCTTTTAAGAGAGAGACATAAAAGAAACAAGAGTCTCCCTCATTCGGGGATGAGTAGGAGGGGAAAAAACCCCAACCAACATTTAAATAGGGAAACTGGCAGTTCTGAATAAACAAACCGAGGCCCACAGTGAAATGATTCTGCACTGCATTTGCTTTTAAAAAGAAAGGAAAGAAGAAAAGAAAGAAAGAGAGAAAGAGAAAGAAAGAAAGAAAGAAAGAAAGAAAGAAAGAAAGAAAGAAAGAAAGAAAAAGAAAAAGAAAAAGAAAAAGAAAAAGAAAAAGAAAAAGAAAGAAAGAAAGAAAGAAAGATAGAAAAGAAAGAATTTCCCCCCTTCTCCTCCTCCTCCCAAGTGAGCTCCGAAGCTAGGGAGCCTGTGCTGCGTGCGGAGCGCCGTAGTTGTAGCACAGGCTGTTCTAAATACACGCAGTATCTGTGATACTGGCACGGCAGGCCTTTAGAATTCCCTCCGGCTGATCTCTTAAACACAGACAGAGAGATTTTTTTTACCACGACCTTGAAACGAGCTGGGGGTGGAGGGGGGGCGCGGGGGATCAAGACCTTAAAAAAAAGCAAAACACAAACATGTATTTGGCTCACATAATTTTGTAGAACACATGCGTACACATACCCAAATACACACACGTTTCCTTCAACAAGAAATTTCCTAACAGTCAACAATAACAGAAAGAGTAAACCCACCACTCGCTGTCCTGGAAAGAAACAAACCAAACCAAAACAAATCCTTTGAACTTGTCCCTCAAGTGCAGGAGAGTCTCCTCTCAGTAAAAAGTCCAAAGAGAAGGAGAAAATTGCAACCCCCCAAAAAAGTGGGGGTTGGGATTGTTACATGCGATCAAAAACTGAAGCTGCTTTCAATAGTATCAATATTAAAATAACACATCCTCTTTAAAACGCCTGAGGGATTAGACAGGGAAAAAAGGCACACACACACACAACAAAATCCAACCGATGCGGGATCCTACTATTTACGTAACACCACAAACTTACAAAAGAAAAAAATAAAAAAAAAAAAAAAAAAAAAAAAAAAAAAATCGGAAAATCATCAAAATACAACCACCCAAAAATCCCAGCCACCACATCAACGAGGAAAAAAAACAGAACCAAAAAACGTCCCAAATAAAATAAAGCAAATGAACCCACCGAAAACTGCTTGGCAAATATTTTTCTCCTGGTGCCTAATATTCTAGCTGAAAAGAGCTGTGGTGTTTATTGTTTTTTTCTCTACCTCGCCTCTAAAGCTACTATATATAACAGACTTTTTCCAACGGGTCGAACCTCTCGCTCCCTTTTGTGTATTTAGCTCGAGGAGCTGAGTTTATGGGTAAGAGAGGAGGAATTAGCCCCAGACCCCGGGAAAGCAAAGCGCACTCCCCCTCTTATGTCACCGAATAGCAAATTAGTTCTCAGAATTCCAGAGGCCGAGCTTTGCTACAGCGAAGACGCCGACGTCACAGAGGGGGCGCCCACGTGACGCTGGCGGAGCAGGCCGTACCATCGTGCGGGGCCCCGGGAGGGAGGGACGCCGTCTGGCCCCTCGAGCCTCGAACCGGAACCTCCAAATCTGAGACGCCTAGCCTCTGAGGACCTCGAAATCTGCCGAGAACTGGAAAAACACTGTGGCTTTGAGGGCTTTCCATGGGCCCAAAGAGGCAAAAGTCCCGGAGAGCTGACACCGAGTCCTCCCCTGCCACGTAGCAGTGGTAAAGTCCGCAGCTCAAATTCCGAGAATTGAGCTCTGTTGATTCTTAGAACTGGGGTTCTTAGAAGTGGTGATGCAAGAAGTTTCTAGGAAAGGCCGGACACCAGGTGATTATTGCTGTTGCTGCTGCCGCTGCTGCTGCTGCCGCCGCCGCCGCTGGTGCCGCTGGTGCCGCTGCCGCCGCCGCTGCTCATGATCATTATTTTACCTTTTAATTCTTTTTTTTTCCGCTCTTGCCAAATGCTTTGGCTCCAAGTTTCCTATGTGTATCTATTGATATAAATGTATATATTTATTTATTCTAGCTGTCAGGTGTTAAAATAAATGCCGAAGATTAGTCCCACGTCTCTCCCACTCTAGGATATAGATTTTTATATATTTATTATTTTATTCTTGTTGTCTTTGAGTGCATCGGCCGGTTTGGGGAGGCTTTTGCCACCCTCCCTTGTGTTGTTTTGATTTTGGAAAAGGAGGTGGAGGAGAGGAAGGAGGGGAATTAGGGGGCGGCCGGAGCCCAGAGGACGAGACAGTGTTTGGGGGGTGCTCCGGGCAAGTCTGGGGGCTGTCTGGCCCCAGACGACGGAGAGGACGCGCGCTCGCGCTCTCGCTCTTTCTGCTGCTGCTTGCGTACGGCTTGTGATCTCGCTGGATTCGGGCGACTGTGTTTTTTCCCTCTTTTCTCGCTTGCAAACTGCCTTCCTCGCTCCCTCGCTCCTGCCTCCCCTTCCCTCCCTCCCTCCTCCTCTCCCTCGCCTCTCCTTCCTTCTCCTCTCCCGTCCTTCTTGGTGACTCCGGGAGGCGAGGAGGGAGGCTGCCCGCTCGCTCGCCCCGCTGGCTCCCTTCCACCGGCCTCGCTCCTCTAGATTCCCTGCCTCGGAGCCGAGATTTGGGAGGAAAAATGCAAGCGAACTCCTCGGGTTTTGTTTTTCTCCCCCCCCTCCCCGATAAGCCCAGTTGAAGTATCGTTTCTACTATTTCCTTTTAGAGCCGCGATCTTCCTAACGAGATCCGAGTGTTTTGGTGTCCCCTTACCCTGTGTTTTGGGGGAGGTTTAGCTTGCCTGGGGGCGGGGATGTTGAATACTTTGAAAATTATTCTTCCTTGGTTGCAGTCGAGGGAGTCGGGAACCCCCGCGCGCTCCCTCTCCCCATCCTGAGGCGAGAGGCTGGTGGCGGGACAGGGATTTGGGGGGGGGGGTGGCAAAAGGGTGCGCGTTTGCACCTGCGGTGCCGTTTAGCATGCGGGGACTCCGGGAACCTTCACAGGACGGCCCAGCAAAGCGGGAAGGTGGCGGGATTTCTGGCGGTCGCGGTGTTTGTGTTTTGGGCGCTGCGTGACTCGGTGTTAGCTCCCAATGGCTGTTCCCCCGCCTCTCCTAAATTTTGTCTTATTTTTTCCCATGGTGCGAGCTTTGTAAAAAGACAACTGCAGACTGGAGAGTAGCCGACGTCAGGCTTCAGGTTCCCGAGGTCCTTGCACGGGGCGAGGGGAAAAACAAACAGCCCCAGCCCGCGTTCCTACGTGCAAGACCCGGGAGGAGAGAAGGGCACGCTGTCGCCCTGGATGAGGGACCCGGCGCGGGAGGAGGGGGCGCGGGCGCGAAAGGGAGATCTTTGTGAGTGATTTTGCAAAAACGGATTGCGAGGTTGGTTGGATTTGCAACCTGTGGCTCTCCTCGAGGGAGTAAGAATGGGGGAAGGCGGCGGCGGCGGCGGCCCGGGGCGGGAGCCGGTGGGGAGTTGGAGCCTCGGAAATGGGCTGCGCTCTTGGGCAGCGGGAGCTAGGGGCCACCCCGCTGCGAGAGGTAGTGACCGTGGTCAGTGTCTTGAGAACTGTGGATTGCGTTGCCTTTATGATGCCGTGTTATTGGAACTCTGGCGAAAAATGGATCTAGTGTTATAATAATGAGTTTTAAAGGTCCCCCATGGAAAACAAAAACACAACCCAATAGATTAAAAAAAAAAAAAAGAATGAAAAAGAACCCTTTTATTGGGTGCCCCCCTTTGCAATGCTTAAGAGGCGGTGGTGGGGGTCCAGCAGCTGAACCGGGAGAAAGACCCCAAATAGGGTACTGAAAGTCCAGAGCTGTTACTGGGTTCCTGACCACCACAGAGAGCTGGTCATCTCCCCCACCACCAGTAGCCACAGGAGACTGATTTAATCTTTTATGGATTTTTTTCCCCATTCAGTTTATAGTTTCCAGGAGGAAAATCTTGTAACTCTTTACTTTTTTTTTAAGTAAAGTATCAATAGATGCTTTTTTTTTTCTGTCAAAAACAAAACAAAACCAAAAAACCAAAAAACTGGGGCAGGACAGAGGGAACCAGGGAAAGGGCTGTTTAGAAATACAGTTTGTGGCTCTGAGCAGTGCCACCAGCTTCCTCTACAGAGACTGCCAGTTTCCCTTTTTCTTTGCAAGGTGTGTGTGGTTTTAATAAATAACTTAAAAAAATAAGAGGGGGGCCGGCAAGATCTGTCAGGAGACAGGTATCTATTTTGCTCACTATTTACTACCAAAAGCCTTTGGCACTGGAACAGAGCCTCGTAAATCTGCAGCCCAAGTTGAAGTTCATCTGGCCCTAGTCCACACGCTATTCCTGGAGGTAGCAAACATGAGCTCAAAGGAATGAGGTGAAATCACATTCTTGCTTTAAAATATATACCTTTTTGGGGGGGTAAGGAGAAAGAATACTGTCTCTGGGAGGAGGAGGAAGTGGAAAGAGGGTGCCAGGAGATGGGCATTCCCTTGCTAAAATGACTCCGTTTGGGTCCTCAGGCTGAAATAGAAACCTGTAGATGGGAAATATTCCCCCTCCCCCTACTTATAAATAGAAGTTTCCAATATCCAATTTGGAAGACTTTCCAATACTGCAGGCCCAAGCACTGGCTGATTTTTAAGGGTCTGTTGATAGGGACAATAAGGCCAGAAGCTGTTGGTAAACTGGGCAGCTTGAAGGAGAAGGAAGCCAGAAGAGGGAATTCTCCAATTGGCCTTTTCTTCTGTGCTCAATTGTGAAGGGTTTTACCCCATGCTTTCTTGAAAAGACTCTCCAATTTATTCTGGGTTTGCTGGACAGGGATGGGACTCTAAACTCTTAAGCTGTCGTTTGCTGAGCCTTGAAGAGTTCCAGTTATTGGTTGAGTAAATGGTAGCCAGGACTAGATGTCAAAATCCTTCCTTCCCTCTCTCCCCTGCCCGGTAGCCACCCTCACAACCCACTTTATTGTGAAAAACTTGAAGAGATTCAGAGGAGGTAGTGCGGCAGCGCCACCCCTTGGTGGGTGAAACTCTATTTGCAAAAGTCAAATATTTGAAAAACATTGTGAAATGACCTTATGAGGATTTTTTTTCTTTAGAATGGGGAGATAAAACTAACTTTAAAAAAAGGACTTTGTAGTTGATTTCTCAAATGGGGTGGAAAAGCGTTGCTTTCCAGCTAGGAGAGTGTCATAAGAGGCAAAGAAGTTCGAGTGTGTGTGTGTGTGTGTGTGTGTGTGTGTGTGTGTGTGTGCGCGCGCGCGCGCGCGCGCCCGGGCGGGGAGGGTTGCCTAGTTGGCTTGAAGTAGGTGAGTTCTCCAGACGGAGGTAGCCTCCTTCCGCCTTGGACTTGACTTCTCAGAGCACCTGAATTCTGTTGCCAGTCTGACACTGAGATAAGGAGGAATGTCTCGGTGTAAAAACAAACCAGTGATGGGAAGTCCTGTAGTTTTGCTGGCGGTGATGGTGGTGTCTACTGGGGGCTGGGTTGGGGACGGAGGTTTGTGGCGTGGGGCAATGGTAGGCTGGTCCGTAGCTGGGTTTGGAGCCTTCTGGGAGTCGAAGTAGTGTGGCGCGTGCCGGCTTCCTGCACTGCGCAACAAGTGGGAATGCCGCCGCAGTGATCCGAGCGAGGGTGCTGTGTTGTGGCGAAGCCGGCCCCTTTCTCTTCGCCCCACTGGAAGCCAGGAATGGCTCTTCGCAGTTCTCCCCGCCTCCCAGTCTGTGACCAGCAGCCCCGCCAAAGACAAAACTCAGCCCCCCTTTCCCCACCCTCCGCCTTTACCGAGCGCTGTAAGCCTGGGTGGAACCCTGCCCTTGGCCTCCAGGGCCCCTCTCTCGAGTTTATTCCCGACTTTCTTTTCTAGTCGACCAGTGTTTGGCAAGAAGCTCTGCTAATACCTTCGAGTTCCATTCTGCTTTTTAAAGACAAGCGCACTCTTTCCTTCCCTTCTAATACATTCAGCCTTTCGGGCTGGAAAAATGAACGTATAATACATGAACGCTGCTCCAGAGACCGCGTTGTGGTTACTAGAGGAGTGAGCATCGGGAAGAACGGAATTACATCCAGTAAATTAAATGTTTTGCAGCGTTGCTTATAGAGGCAACCTCCTCCCGCTAACAGATCCAAAAAAAAAAAAAAAAAATAGTGGGGGGCAGTCTGTTGTGGAAGGCTGTGGCTGCGCGATGATTTTCGAACGGACTGAGTCTGCCACCTAGTGGTAGGTTCTAGCAGAGTT